GTTGAGCACCATACAAATGCTAGTCCAACACCATTGAAAGCTACTACTTCTACTGAGAAACAACATGATTTGAGCTAGGGGTAAGCTTGAACAGCAAAAAGAGTGGATTTTCCTGCACTTCCATAGTGACTGAAACTGGGGCACACCTCCACTGAAGGTAACACTCTAAATAATTTACATTGATGTTAAAGTCTTTGAAAATCAAAGTAAAGCTTAGTTTCAAAAGTTCTGAGTGAGGGCAGCACTGTGTGAGTGGTAAGCTTGCTTCAGTTATCCTGGGTTCGGAGATTTAACAAGGGAAGTGAAAGATTAAGGGACTGTACCTAAATTCACCATAGGAAAGACTAACTTCCTACTCTTTGATTGTAACATATTAATGCAAAGTTTAAGTCTGTGGTTTTCCCACCCTTTATTGGAGCAGTCATGTGTTCTGAAAGTTCTTACATCTGAGTCTGCTCTGGATGGTAGAGGGTAGTCTGACATTTGAGCATCAGTCAGTTCAGTAAGACTTTGGGTGCTGATCCTTTGATATGATATTGAGATAGGCATGTGCAATTCTTCTGGAAATCCCTAGGGCTTAACAATACTTAAGAGGCAACAAGCCTGAGGAATAAGATCAGCTTCTGCTGCCTATAAGCTCTTCTTAACTCTTTCTGTTGAAGCCATTCTGGAACTTAAATAGGACAGCCTCACCCACTGTAGTCATTTTGGGAAACCCATTATTTTGTCATAACAAGGTGTTAGGTTTTAATTAAAATAGTTGAAAGCCATCATTTCCCCTGCCTTAGGTAGGGGTAAAAAATTAAAATACTTATTTTCTTTCATTTCAGTGCCACCTAACCAAGAAAACCAGCCTCACAATGAAAGGGATGTAGCCAGATTCTATTTTTTCTTATCTTCTCTGCTCTTTTTCTCTCTTTCTCTCTACTCTCTTAGGGTGTAAGCATTCAAAATGGAAATACTTTTCTTATCATACGGAAACAAAAATCCTAAACCTAAACTAGACTGTAGAAATTTCTCACTAGAACAGGAGTTTCTTTCCTTGGAGTTTCTTCTTTTAAATCCAGCCAAGCCCTATGAGAAATTGTGCATCACAACTGAAACAGGTGCTGTAACATGTAGAGAGCAAGAGATTGTGCAGGTGGCCACGCTCAGGATGTAGTCACAAGGCTTTTATCCACCTTAAGGGGATTCATACATGAGGGCTGCACCCAGTAGCTTATGTTCATAGGCACTACCACCCTGACAAACAGATCTTTGTCATGTTTCAGGGACATCTGGCATGTTCTTGTCATTACATTTCCCTATCGTGCTATCAGAAATGCCTCTGAACAAAGTCATCAGTGACAGGCTGAAATATATTCTAAACACACAAAGTCCTTTAAAAAAAAAACAACCCAAAAGTCTGGAGCTCCAAGCACTTGCTTGTGCTTAGGCAAAGATATTCTTTGAGTGGTAGTCTGGAAGGAAAGTAAAAAAGACAAATTTTGGGAAGAGAAAAGATATATTGCCATCAAGGTGTAATTATTGTGTGACTACAGCATTAATTCTTTGCCCACACAAAAGTTCTGTGGTCTGACATCACATCCTCTTTTTTCTTCCGTAGAACTGATTCTGTAACTTTGTAGGCTAAAAATAATTTCTTGGAAAACAAGGATTGAGTAATTTCAATGCTAAGATGCATTTCTCAACCAGCTGAAAACATCATTCTAGGAGGCATGAAGTGCTCCTGTTCCTTTCCTGGGGCTAGTTTTCCAAGCTGTGGCAAATTCAGTGTGTGCATTAACTCTCTTGCTGCTGGTAATTGTGCAGCTGATGCTCTTACTATGCAGTCCTAAGTTTCTAAAGATTTCTTGATGCAACAGAGCTCAAGGGACAGCTCCAGGTTCATATTTGTACTGATAGAATTATGGTAAACAAAGATGTGGTAGAAGGCAATAGAAAGAACATCAGCTTGGCTAATCTTATTAATTGTATTTCAGCAATTAAAAGGCATTAAAAACAAAATCTGGTGAAGTTCTGGTCTAGAGCTCCTCATTTTGCACCACAGGAGGGTGTGAGCTCTCCCTTCTGAACCTCTTTTTTGTCTTTCCTTTTTTTTTTAGGATTTTGTGCCATATGTATCCTCCCTGTGTTGATTTAAAATGTGAAAAAAAGAGAGGCAAGCATAAACTGTTGTAGGTTTTTTCAAATTCTTTTAATTTTGTCTTTCTTGAAAGAACTTCAAAAAGGCGAAAGTTATCTCAGTTCTCAATGACAGTATTCAGTTTTGTTTCTACTCTCACTATAGCTAAGAAGATTCCTCCTCTGCGCAGTCAACAAACTTCCCTCTTCTGAAAGGGTTCTTCTTCACACCCTCTCCCCCCTGAATTCCTTCTTAACAAAACCAAAGAACATTTTCTTCCTTAAAGGCAATTGCCTTTTCTTCCTCTACCTTTTCCACCTTTTTGATTGCATAGGATGGTACATTTTGGTCTCCGTCCTTTATGTTTTCTGTAGCTTTATTTCCACTTTAGGCATACTTCAAAACTTTTGCCAAAAGAACAGTGTTAGGCAGAAGTGCAAACCCTCATTTCTCATCCCTCTTTAATAAGATGGAGGTACTCACTAATAACAGTTGTATACCCAAAACCAGAAAAAAGGTCACTCTGCTGGTGAAACATCCTCTCTTGAGGAGTCTGTACTGCCAAGCAACCCCCAGCCACCACCAACAGTTTAGTGCTGCAAAGTATGTACGTAATGCCAAATCCTTTTTTCTTTAGATATGGTCTCTCTTTCAAAAAATCAAGGAACTAATTTTCCCCTTTTTAGCTTCTTTCATTTTTTTCTACATGGGTTTATTCTTTCACTGTGCAACTGCACTTTTAATTTGCAATTTTAATTTTTTTTTAATTAAGAAGGGTATGGAAGCATTACATAACATGTACAGTGCGGTGTTTTCAATTAGTCCATTTTAGACTTTGAGATTAGAACCACAAATAATGATCAAGCATTTTAATGTGACTCCATGTAAAAGACTGTAAGAGAAATGTCTGGTGCCAATAACATCATCACCAAAGGGGTATAATCTGCCATTACACTCCACTTACAGTCCAGTATTAAAAGTGCCATTCATGCTTCTCCTGAAGAAACACAGTGGAGAACAAGACTAACTCTTAGCAATCTGGTCTAGTGGAAGGTGTCCCTGCCCATGGCAGGGGGATTGGAACTGGATAATCTTTAAGATCCCTTCCAACCCAAACCATTCTACAGTTCTATGATTAACAAACAGTTGCATGGAGTTCCAAGAACAGTTTTGGGCTATCTGGCACTCCATGACTTTTTTGGGGAGGGTGTATTTCTGGAGAGAACACTGCAACCACCCCAGCACTATTTGAAAATGTGCTACATGATTCAGGTAATGCCTGCACTGGGGCATGTGGCTGAGGCAGGAACGCTGCCCATCTGGGGAGATGAAGCAGCAGACAGCTGCAGCCCTGGGGAAGCCAACCCAGGGAATTCTGTGGGATCACCTCCAGTAATGTGTGACCCAAGCAGCACCACTGGCTGTGCTGCTCCTTCCACAGGAGTATCATAGGTGGCATGGTGTATTGCTAATATACCTGTAAAAGGCATTGTGGCAGATCCAAACCAGGCAGTGACCTGCGGGTTTGACCTTCTGGCATGTTGTTTGAACCTGGTGCACTTTTCTGTTGTGTTTTGTACTGTCTCCTCAGCCTGCTTTTAGGAGGAACTTCTAAGCGTACTTCTTAAATTATATTTTACATTTATTACCAGGCAGAAGTGTACAGCTGAGACATTTTAAAATAAAATGTTTGCATTTAAATTAAAGCTGCTGCTGCTGTGTGTTTCTTGCTCCTTCCCTGTACTGGGCCCAGTAACCCCCAGCACTCCCTGGCCTCAACTCCTTCCAGCACCCCCTCTGAACTTGTCCCAGCATCTGTGCACCCCTCCCAGTGTTTGTGTGAAAAATGCTAATCACTGGTTTTTAAAATTTTAAAAGTTTAATAGTAATAAAATGCTTATAAAAATAGCAATATAATTAGAGTAATAATAATTTGGATAATTTGGATTAGGACAATATGAGACAACAGAAACAGAAAGTTATGGATGTCCAGGTACCTTTTTCTGGGCAACATAACCCCAAAAAAGGACACACTTTACAGAAGATTAACCCTTAGAAACAACAGCCTGTTGCATATTCATACACCTCATACATGATGCATAAATTCCATCCAAACAAAGGACTCTGGTCAATGTCAGCTTCATCTTAATCCTGACGGCGTCTTTATGGCTGAGCGAGGCAGGAAGAAGTTAGTTTCTTCTGATAAGAGAGCAATAAATTCTTTTTCTCTGAAAGATTTAGGTGTCCTGTGGCAGCTATGTCACTGCGAGTCCTTTCTTTAAAAAAAGTATCTTACGTAGCATAGTTTCTATTCTAACATTTTGTTATAACCTAAAACTATACTTAACACACTACTTAAGAAAATTAATACAGCGTAACTTTCTAATATAACACATATAATATTAATTTTAATACTTGCGAAAAGCCAATCATAAAATACGCATTTTTCACACTCTGGATAGGTCCCAGTATGCACCCCGAACTTGAAGTGGTCCCAGTATCCATCCTAAACAAGTCCAGGCACCCACCCCTGTCTGAACTGGTTACAGTATCTTCTCTTGGTCTCAGTTGGGCCCGGTATTCCCCTGAACCGGTCCCAGCATCGTCTCCCGGAGCTGCTCCCAGGGTTCCTTCTGGCCTGGCCCGGCCCACTGTCCATCCCGGCCCGGCCCACTGTCCATCCCGGCCCCCTGTCCATCCCGGCCCACTGTCCATCCCTGCCCGGCCGCTCCCGGCTCCTCCCTCACGCCAGGGGGAGCCAGGCCAGGCACGGGGGGCGTGGCCTGATCCCGCGGCGCGACGCCGGCTCCCCATTGGCCGAGGCGAGCGGCTGCCCGCCGATGGCCGCCGGCCTGGGGGCGTGGCTGCGGCGCTGACGGAAGTGACGAACGCCGTGGGGGGCGAGGTGGGCGCGAGCTCCCGGATGGTGTGGGGCAGCGCCGGCACTGGGAGATGTGCACTGACCCACAGAATAAAACAATAGTGCTCAAATAGCGAAATAATAACCCAGCTCGTCCGAACGAGCGGTCCTCGTCCCCACCTGGTCGCTGTAAAGCACCGCGTGAACAAGAATTGGTTTTATTTTTTTTTTTAATTTTTTTTTTTCCCGGCCGCGTAGGATGAGCGCCGTGCCTGAGGAAGTGAAGGCAGAAGATGGCAAAGCGGAGCCCGAGAAAAAACTCTTTTACTGCGATGTGAGTGGGTGTCTCTGGGGGGTTTTCAGCCCGGGCAGGCTCTGGGAGCCGTGCGGGGGCTGGGGAGCCGGGCCTGGCAGCAAGAGTGGCTCTAACGTGGGGGGGGGTAACGGGGCCGGTGCCTGGGAGAGCTGGGCTCGGTGAATTCCGGCTGTTCTTGAGCTGTCACGGGTGCAGTGAATGGTTCTCAATTGCAGCCTTTCCAATCTCGGCTGGGTGCCTCTGATGGGCGGCCGCAAAGGCTCCTTTATCTCTAAAAGCTGCAGCTCCGGCTCAGAACGCGTTAAATTTGTCAGTCCTGCAGTGTTTTTGTAGCGCTGGATGTTGTTTCTGGCTCGTTCAAGTTCTGCGACAGTACGTAAAGGAAAGACAATACTAGCATGCATTGCTTTCATAAAAGCTAAAGATAATAATACATATTTGTACATCTGTATCGTCTTCTCTTAATTATTGCAATGGTATATGCGTGTCTGTGGATCTTAATGAAAGGCATGTGTCTTCCTCCATTGTTTTTCTGCTCCCTTTAACGTAGCTGTGAATGAACAATGAACGGAGCTGCAGTTATCCCTGGGCGTAATTTTGCCTCTGTTCCCTTCTAGTCACTGCACGACCATCCCTTTTTGCTGGCTTTCCAGCTTGGAGAACTTTAGAAAACTAAGAATTCAGAAAGTGCTGGTAGCAGAGAAGGGCTCGTAAAGCCTTCTCACCACCAGTAATTTATTTAAACACTTGTTTAAGTATTGTTTGAACAGGTCTGCATACTATTTCTGGACATTTTAGTGGTAAGCTGCTCTCCTAAAAGTCATGCAAACTGTTTGAGCCAGAGAAGACCTTGAGAATTACACGATTGCTCTGTAGGAACGGATGTATTTCATATTTATAATTCATCAACGGCAGAATGTTCGTAGCATAACTGACGATGTGCTTTCAATTTTTCTCTTTCAGGTTTGTAAAATTTACTGTATGTGCGCTATAAGTCTTCAGTCACACTACCGTGGTGCGAAGCATAGGAGGGTAAACTTTTTCCATTTTTAATGTATATGCAGATTTAATCTTAAATCGGGAATTCTGTAAATTCAGTACTTGATTTCACACGGCTTCAAGTGCTTATCTAACTTATTGGTAGATTTGTAACAGTAACTTGCTTGAAATATTCCAATAAAAAGATGAGGTGGGAATCTCTCAACTCTGCTTTGTGCAGCATGTAACTTGAAACATCAGCCGTACCTGAAGGTAAATGTGTGCTAATTGTGAAATTAACATTTGAATGACGCGAGAGCCGCAAGTGGTGAAAGAATTCAACTTTGTGTTTTAGGATGCACTTGGTAAAAGTACTGTTCTGTCTTCCAAGTCTAGACAACTCACCTGTACTTTGAATAAAATGAGCTTCCTCTTTACTTTGATGGTAACACTGATTTCCTGAAGGAGTTACATTAGACTTAACTATCAAGTCTGACACTTGTGTTGCTTTGAAACATCATCATAGCAGCTCCCTGGTTTAAGCACAAAACAGACAAAGGCATTGAATAATTAGGCACCGGTCCGTGAGGGTGTGTTTAGAGATGAGGCTTTTACAAATGCTGAGTGACCGAACCATTGGCTGTTGATTGGCTGATGATTGATTAAAATTCCACCACGTTCTCAGTCTGTAAAGGTGAGACATAACTCAGTAGTCTGTACTCCTTTGCTGCCATCAGATTGTGTTATTGTGGCACTAAAGAGCCTGCTCTGATGTTTTCTTAATGTAATGACACTATTCTTCCTGGAGCAATAGTGACTAACAGCAAAACTGCCTTTCTCAAGTGATGGTGTGCCCTTTTCTTTTTTTTTTTATATTTTGGGAATGAGGGCATCTCCCCATCTCTTTGCTATTGAGACAGATTAATAGTATTCTGTTACCTATTTGCTGATCAATTTAATAGCATTGATTCTTATTTGAATCAGTGGCTCTACTTTCTCCAACCCCTTTTCTATCTCCACAGGATTGAGTCCTCTTGTTCCTCGTTTATCAAGTAGAAGTGTACAGTTGTATTTTGCATGTCCTACCAAATGTTCCTGCTGATGTAAAGAATTCCTTTGATTTTGTGGTTGTTTCTTTTTTTTTTTTTTCCTTAGCTAACCCTCTTAGCAATCTAATTATTGCTGGTTTTCCGTTCAAAAGTAGGAAACCCAGCATTTATTTTCTTAGAAAATCTGCATATGGTTTTCCTTCTGTTTCACACTTGGATGTATACTGGGCTAAATCTCCCAGTTTCTTGTGTCAGTGAAGTCTTTCAGCTGAGAGCAAACAGGAGTAGGACAGGTTGAAAACTGGATTTTTATTGGGTGTGGAGTCATGATCAGTCACACAGCTGCATTGCTGTAGGAGTAACTCTCCAAGCTCATATCATCATTCTTTTCAGTTATCTCAAATTTCTTTCTTTAAATGATGAAATCTGTTGTGTGCTTTGGTGGAAAAAGATGAGAACTCATAAGTTGATTTCAGGGTTTTGTACCACTAGGTTTGGAATAGCTATAAAAGTCCTGAGCCTATGTTTCCACTGAATACAGGGTAGGTGTAGATAGTGAATTGCTCTTTGACTGGAGGAGTTCCTGTTCAAAATAATAGCAAAGGATGTCCTGACAACACAACATAATGAAGAGAAGGTAGTAGTTCTTTTCCTAAACCACAGTACTAGCCTGACCAATCCATTAGCCACTTTTTATTATTTCAGTCAGATTGCCTTTTTTATATCAGTTTCCCATTTGCTTTTAAAATGGCATTGTTAAAGATACTCTGCTTGTCTGCTGCTGGAAGGCGTTCCAAAGTGCAAGAAAAAGCCCTTTGGCGGAAGGACAGTCATTAAGAAACAAATGTAAACGTGTGATACGTATTGAAATTGTATCAATTTCAATATGCATTCCTTATAGCTGTTCAGAGTAAAATGTGTTATTTTGAATAGCTGCAGTAGTAAAGCTTGGCTGTCTGACAGACTTGTGAGAATACTTCAGTTGACCTTCAGTGTACATGGCTATTTTATCTCTTTTTTTTTTTCTTTTTTTCTGGATAGTCTGGTTAATCTGGATTTTGAATAGGTACATAAGATGCGTATTTAGGTTGTTTCTGCATACCTTTTTTTTATCTCCAATTTTTTCTAGTGCTGTTAGTTCATAAGGCCAGACCCTTGTCAAAAGGGTGCTGATGGCCTAAGGATTGTGTGGCTGGGATGATCACAGTACAAGGCTGTGTGTACCTTGTGCATTGAGTGCTGTGTGACCTCTGCATAGTACCATAATGGTGGGGTCTAGTGGCTTCATTGCACAGGTACTAATGGGATGGGAAGTCGTAGAAAGTGCATTAGCCAAAATATTCATAGATGTGTGTATAATTCATGGCTCTGAAAATTGGAGTTGGTTGGTTTTGGATTCTTTGAAAAACAAGTTCAATTTAGGTTTAGCCATTATAGTAAAATGTTTTGGAAACAACATTTATATTAGTTTACTAATGCTTTTAATGTAGCTAAGCCTGGGAGAGCAGTGGGGGATATCATGCATGAAAGATGGGTTTGTTTGGCCTTTTTGTTTTTTTTTCCACAGCTGAGGAGAAATCTAGGTTTTTTGGGACAACAGTCCCCAAATAAAGTACACCTGTGGTGTACATACCTGGAATTTGGTGGTATGTGATATAATCTATTCTGATTTTGTAAGTATGCTGTAGTTCTATAGCTCAGTTTGCTAGGGAGATCCTAAAGTGGAACATCTTTTTTCCATGTGTTTTGATCAGCCCTTCGCAGGTATGGCATCAGCAGAAGAGCACTGCTTATTTTGTGAACTGTGTTTGGAACACAGATGAAGATTGTTCTGGTTCTATCAAAGATTCAAGTTTCCTTGCCCCCCTTCAAGCCTGGAGTTAGATAGGTAGAAATGCCTGCCATGTCCTAGAAAGAGAAAAATCTGTATTCGTGACTCTACAGGCTCTTCAGAAACAAGTAATGTTCAAATTAGTGAAGAGAGCTGTTAGCCTTTGTCTTCATCATTTCAGTGTTCTCATTTCTTCTGTCTCTCACCCCTGATTGTTGCGCATCAGAACCTGTGGTTGAAATACCTGATGTGCAGGCAACTTTTCTGTCCTTTTTGTGGCAGTAAAATCAACCATTGCTGTTTAAACATTTCAGTCGTACATATTTGTGTTGATACTTGGAATGCTAATGTAGCTAGTTACAGGAAAATTACCTTGCTGATGGATTGTTTATATTTGGTCCCAGAAAGCATGCTATTGTGTTCTGCAGCATATCTTCTGTTAGCTCTGTTTCTCCACAGAGAAACTTTAATTGTGGAGATTTCTTTTGAGGGGAAAAACCAAACAGAAGACAAACAAACCCCCAGAACTTGATTTGCTTATTATGAGCTTGAAGAATTAAAATAAGTAGAATTTCCATGCATATCCTTGTATATCTAATTGATATATTTAAAGATGGTATATGTTTAAGAAAAACTAAATTATGTTCATATAATACTTAACTATGCAATTGAAACTGTTCTGTTAAATAACCTGTGAACTTGAATTGTATAAGCAACTACTTTATGCAGTAGCTCGTACAGACTGCCATGTGCCCAGAAGGTTTCAACCCTTAAAACCAGTAGTTTTTGAGTTTTGGCTTATCAAAGTTAGACACTTTGCCAAAAGTTACTCTAACTTTTCACAGTCTTAGCTCAAAAACAGCTGTTACAATCCCTGAACCAGAAGAGAGAATAAGTTTCTCACCTAATGTGTGAGAATCTTAATTCCAGATCTAGTAGCGGGGATCACAAATAAAATGGACCCTTTAGCTTCAGTTGTAAAACTGCATTTCTGATATTAACAAAAACAGTAAACCAGGTGCAGTCAAAGTTGATTGTCTGAAAATAGTCAGGAGGAAATTCTCTTTAATCAGCAGCTTACAGTTGCTAATGTTTTCTGTGCTTGTCTGAAAATTTGGTATTAGCAGCTGTTTGTTGTAAAACTGGAGAATGAGTAACAAAAGCACTTGGAACAGCATAACTGTGAGGAACACTGTGTCTGTATTACTAAGCTTATGAAATCCTGTTGAATTTATACAAAACCATCCACTGCCTGTAGCAATACCAGGACTTAGGTAACTTCCTTATTTTATAGCTGCCACGAAAGTACAGCTACTTGGCTTCTCAGACAATTAACTGTTTTATCAGTCTTGCTTCCTGTTGAATTGCCACACCCGTGTCCAGCATCTCTTCCATGCCACTGAATATTGAAAATACAGCACTTAACTCCATGGACTGCTCTGGACAGACAGCTGCTGTAGTGGTAGAATGATCACACTATTGTTTCATTCTTGTAAATGACAAGTTTGTGTTTACTTGCCAGAAAATTGTCAAAATGAGTCAGGATTGCTTTAGCTATTAAATGGAAATTTAAATTCTTTTCTTTAGATTCTGCCAAAAAGCAATCATCTGTTCTGGATTCAGCCAGTGAAAGACACTTTTCCTGTTCTTCATGATATGAATGATCTTTCCTGAGATTTGGCTAGCCTTAAGGTTTAACCAAATCCACTCAAAAAATGGTGGGGGAGCTGCTTTCAGTTAGTTTTTCCTTTTGGCGTAAGATTTTTTTTGTTGTTGTTGGAACTACACCTTCTGAAAACTTAGGAGCTGTAATCATACTTTAGGTTTTCCTGGCATTGTTCAGATGTGTTTCAAGCCATAATCATCCCTTAAAACTTCACTAAATAACAGGGTTTTCTTGAAAGTAACCTTGTGTTAACTGTAAGTACAACTCTGTCGGTACTTCCAGCTTTTGCAGACAATCATAAAGGCTCTAAGTTTTCCTGTTTGACAATGGAAATTTTGGCCTGTAATGAAATTCGTCTGCAAAGGCTTCTCTGGAAGTGCTGGATTTTTCTTTCAAATGATGCAGCACATTAATTTATTTTTCTTATTCTATTTTGGGATGACTTGCATCTTCATAATTAAAGCAAGAGAAAGCCATGAGACGCAGGAATCTCTATTGTAAGTATAATACTTTTTTCTTCCAGCCTCCTAGGATAGATATTGCTTGGGCATTTACTGTTTTGTTGCTTTTCTAATAGTTCAGGTATTTGCATTTGCCAATTTACATGTCTCTAACTGTGTTTCTCTTTATATGCTGAACATTCTTCTGAGATTTGTCTAGTGAACTGCTGACAAAGAATTGTTTTAGAGTATGAAACCTTACTTATGCCTTTTCACATACAATTATTTATGTATCTGTCTAGTGGAGGGATGTATAGTCAGTGTTTTAGTTTCTCACCTTCTCAGGCTAAACTGTCTCCTACTTGTCTATCAGCTTGATTCACTCACTGCTGAGTTTCAGGCAGAATGCTGAGAAGCTAAATCAGCAGGCTGACACAGCACTGTTGCAGATGCAGCTCTAGCAGTGCTGAAGCTGCTTGGCTGCATCACAGGAATGTTCTGCCTCTCTTTATTGTAGTGGACTTCGAGGAGCAAAGATGTATTCAAGGTGAATTCAGTTGTTGGGGTGTCTTTTCCCCAGAAACTGAGAATGTGAATCCAGACTGTCATATGTCAATAAAATTAGAAGTTGTGGTGAAAGGTTGGAAATGTGGTATATACTTTGCTCACAGTGGAAATGAAAATCTTGTTGTAAAGCTACTTACGATGACATACAGGAAGCAGAGGTATAAGCAGATGTGGGAATACTGATAGAAATCAATGAGATTATTAAAAACCAAATGGTTATAGTCAGTCACACAAGAAACAAGTGTTTCACTTCTACTTTATCTTCTTAGCCTGTTCTCCGAAGAAACAAGGCTTACATTCCACCTTTATCGTCTGTTCCCCAGTGTCTTTTGAACCTCTCAGCCTTTTTGAACCAAGGTGATCAGAGGTGCCTGAAGACACACATCTGCACAGGGAAGAATGACAGTGTCAGTCCTGTACTGAGGGACGTGCTGCAGACTGAGCTCACCACTTGCTGCACCCTGAAGAATCAACACACAAGAAACATCTGGGAAAATGCTGGTCAGAGCCCTTTCCTAAGAGACTGAGCTTCATTAGCTGCTCTCATGGTTTTGTGTTGGTGAGGGAATTAGTGCAAGACATGTAATTCAAGTGTGAGAACAGTCATGAGATTTTGCCTCAGTCACCTGTGACTGCTGTATGGTAACGGAGCTCTCTGACAGAATTTGAGGAGTTGTGGAAACTTTCAAGTCTTCTCAAAGTCCAGTGGATTCAAGTGCTACAAAATTGTATTTACACCTCAGCAACAAGAACAGATTTGTGTGGCTCTAGTCAGGGGCTTTTAGTGGAAGACACTTTCTACAGATTTCTTTGAATTTTGTGTCAGAAATGATCATTAAAAGTAATACTCATTAAGTGAAGAGGTTCTTTCTTCACGATCATAAAATCTGGTTTTGGAGGAATAATGTATGGGATGCATTTGGCAGAAAGTGACTTAAATAAGAGGACAGAAGTTGTGGCAGCAAGGCTGTGAAAAGAGTGGTGCAGTGCAGGAACCTGTTGCAAACACCTATGGCTTTAGAAAACAGTGCTGTATGTACTACAGTCTCTGTGTTCCATGGAGAATTAAGAAGAATTAATCCATAGGTTAAGAGTATGTGCATGCTACAAGTACTGTATCTTTGGAAATGTCATGACTTGGAATCTTTCAACTGGGATGTGTCCTGCAGAACAGGAAGTCAAAATATCTAATTAATGAAGTGAAGAATTTAGAAGCTTTGGTAAGCAAGTTAGCTGTGACCTCTGGAGGAGTCTCAACTTCACAGGGTACCACATGTCAGAAGCATTGCAAGATATGTTTTTATCCAGAAAGTTCTCTGCCTCAGGAATAATTTTGAAGCAATCAGAAACTTACTTCTAATAAAAAACTATTATTAATACTATTGATGTCTCCTTTATTCTACTGTCTATTGCATTCTGCTTCACTGAAGAGAAAGATGTGGAAGGTCAGTTTGCAAGCCACTGGTAGGGTTTATTTGTCCAAAGAGGCTGAAATTTGGTCTGATGAAATTTATTTGTATGTTTCAGTTGTGCTGCTTTAGGTTTTTTTGCAAGTAGAAAAGTACTTTTTTCTTAAGTAACTTTTCAGAGGTATTGGGAACTACAATGCTGAATTATGTAGTCATTATGTGTGTAGAACTCTCCCATGGACATATTACCAATTATATAAATAATTCTCCTTCAAAGTCCAGCAGATCCAGTAAATTCATTGTACTCTGTCAGTGATACAAAAGTATAATGATGAATTTATCTAGCCTTTATTTTTTATTGTAAATAGCTGGGGTTTTTTTAAACTGTTTATAGATCTGAGGTAAGCATGATCAAAAATTATTAAATATAGTAGTAAAGTTTTGTGAATGTGCATGGAAAGTATGGATTTTTTTAAAATTAGGTGCACTATTTAAAATTTGAATCTTAATTTAATTTCAGTATATAAATTATTGAGATGCTTTTGTTATTGTTGCTGGATCTGCAATCTTGTTCTAATGTTGATGCTATCAGATATTCCACTGAGATTGAAATGTGACAGCATGTTCAAAGAGCCAGGAAAAAATGATGTGAAAGGGAAGGATGAGTTTTCTTGGAAATAATTCACGATGATACCTGACAAGTATCTGAAATGTACACTGTCTAAAAAGGAAAAGGTACTTCAGAGGATGAGGCTTGACATATTTAGAATGTTTTACACCAATATCTGCATTTTCTTCCTTGCTGCAGAATTAAAAAAAGTTCTTTTGTCAGTAGGGAGAACACCTCCCTTGTAAAACAATCACCTGCCATTTGTAAACCAAAATTTAAAATGACAAGGTATTTGGATTCTGAGTATTTCCAAATGGGATATGCCATGTATCCTTTTTGAACCCACCAAAAGTTACTTGATAATCCAGAAGTGGTGAGTGTATGTAACCTGTGTGACTGGACAACCATGTTGACTTTCAAAGTCAATTAAGTGAGGAAATGCATCTGATTCCAGGTGTTTGTTTTTGGAGGAGTTCCACTTCTGTTAGAAAGGTGACTTTCTTCATCACATTACTGTGTGAGTTTCCATATGGCAAAACTATCCACAAGCTATTTTTGTGGTAATGACAATATGGGATATATTGGGTTGGTTTGGCTTGGGCTTTTTTTTTTTCCCTTCAGCAGTTCAGAGGAAAGCAACATAATGGAAGATGTGGAAATAGAAGATGCTGAAGTTCTAAGACTTTACTAAGAGTGTTAAGTCAAAGCACAGCTGAGTACATGAATTTCAGTCATGTGATTCCTTTGTACAGTTATGTAATTGGACAGATGGAATACTTCTTTCAGCCCTTTTTTAAGGCAGTTGCCCATGTGTTCAGGGATAAGGAGTGGAGGGGAATGAACATTGCCTTTTTTTTTTTTTCCCTTGAGGTCTATTGGCCAAAATAGAAGAGTTTCGAAAGCTTTTTGCTTTGAGCAAGAGGCACTAAATGATGGGGCAATGCCAATGTACACATAGGCAAACATTTACTGGGCAGTAGCAAAATGCAGTGGTTTACTACTATTAGCTCAGGCAAGAGGCATAATACAGAGAGTATGAGCCCTGTTAAAGCCCTTTATGGAGAAGGGGCTTAATGGTGAAATGAATATGGCACAGAGGAGTGGATTAATGAATTTATTTGTACAGCCTGTAGAGTTTTTCTTGCATTACAGTATGATGCAGAGGTAGCTTGTCCTGTTCTTCATAGCAATAAAAATGGAAAGTGTAATAAGGGATATTGTATGTTTTAGCTGCTGGATCTACTAATTTGTATCTATACCTTTCAACTTAAAACCTGTGAATTCTACCATGAGTAAAGAAAGCTTCATTATGGTTGTTCTGTAAAACATGGAGTCGAGGAGTGGATTCCAGTCTGAAGATAAGCTGCAGTTGCTAAACAGGACTGAAGACAAGTTCTTCCTCCAGTGAAGGCACAGATGTGGTGGATTCTGCATTGTGTTCACCAATGATAAACTTAGCAGTATCCTGATCAGCATTTCAGCTTAATGTGTTAAGAAATTGATATGTTTTAACATGTCCCTTCATGCTCAGTGTCTGTTAAACATGGATAAGGATGTGTTTTTTGCGTGTATATCTACTGCTGAGTCTTCAAAGGAAAAGCCTGGAAGTTCTATTCTGACTTACAGACTAGAAGAGAAAATGTTTCAGAAGCCATAACAATAAAAGTATAAGGTGGAACACTATTTCAACACCCTTACTACTTCTGTCTTGGGGAGTTCCTTGACATGGTGGAATCTGGCGTCTTCGTTTCCCCTTCACTTCCCCTTTATACTCAAAAGGGAATCTGGTGCTGAGCTTGGGACATCCTTGTTGCTGCTGAGTAGCTGAATTGACAGTGTCTGAAACTGCCCTTTTGTTTTGAAACATGGCTGTTACATTTCTGGCAGTCATTAGGAATGTGTGTGCATTACAAAGACATAAACAGATGTTTCTTCGTTCTCCACCTTTTATATGTTCAGCGCTCTGTAATTGAATCTTGAAAGGAAAGGGATTTTTGGGGAGTTGCTTTTGTTGGGTTTTTTTGTTTATTAATGTGCATAGCTAGTATTTGGTTCTTAGCAAATAAAATAATCAGGTGGAAGAGATTTCCTGAGACTGATTAGGTGATTTCCTAACTTCCTGATTGAAGGAAGACTACAACCAGTGCTGGATCATCACTTTATTGCTGAATCCTTGAACATGTTAACAGGCAGAGAGTCTTCTACCTGTGTTTAATATCAGTCTGCAGTTGCTCCTCTGTTCAAAGAAGAATTTTATCCTAATATCTAATCTTTGCACCTGAAGCAACTATTCCTGGCTGCTATTTTTTAATGCTTCTGTCAGGTTCCCACAGGGCTGGACATTTTGTAGCTGCTGTTCAGGTATCCGTGCTTTTATGTCTCCTTTTCATCTCCACCAGTCTAAACAAGTCCAGCTCCCAAGCCTGTTCTCATAAATTATTTGCCATTTTGCTGGGCCCCCCTCTACATCCCCCTTGAACTGAGGAGGAGTGATAGTAGTCATCCTTACAGGTCCCAGATAATGGAGGATAAGATATTCTGCAGTGACTGCCTGTGCAGTATCTCAGTGTTCCCAAGGTCCCACTCAGCTGAAGCTGTGGCATCAGTTGTATCCCCTAAATTACTGTTGCCTATGAATTTTCTGAGCGTGTTTTATGAATGTCAACATCTGTAACCTGGCTGGAGATGCATCCCTGGGCATTGTGGGCCCTAGAATTTGCTCTTTGGGAGATTGTGCTGCCTAGTGGACACCAGGAGGCTGCTTTGTTGTTTGTTTCCCTTTGAGCCTGGCAAAGCAGCTGATTTTCAGCTCATTGATCAGTCTGGTATGCTTTAGAGAACATACTGTTTTGGTTTGGTTTTGAGATGCTTAAGAAATATATTATTGATAGCATTACAAAGCCACGTGGCTAGTAAGTGTGAATTAAATGTTAGCCTGGAAACATGCTGCTGCTGAATGGGAGAGTCTTCAAGATCAAAACTGCTTTGTTAAACATTTGTGGGCAGCAATGATCTTTACTTAATGCTTTTTCTTTTTTGTAATTAAAAAATTCAATCCCCCAATCTGCTACCTTTGGTGATAGCAGCAGCTATCACAACTTGATTTTTAGCTTGACCATATTTGTAAACTCTAAGCACGTTAAGGCAGAATGTGCTGAGAACTGCTTCTGGTGCAATTCTCTGTAAATTCACTTTGTTCCTAGAAGTAAACTAAATAAAGCACTTTTTCACATAAGCCTATTTATATCATATAACATTTGGCCATGTCTGCACATACTGGACCTGGAATCTTAACTTGAGCTTCAGACTAATTGAACAATTCTGACATTAAGTAATTGTTCTAATTGGAAAATGCCTGGGGATCTTCTTGCTACCAGATACTTTAAAGCTTTTAACTGAAAAATAGGCATAATTTATTTTAAGGAATCAAGGGAGATATGCTTTCCCATACCCCTTCCATTATGTTGATATTGGAGAGTTGTTTGCAAAATGTTTGTAACCTTGATTTTATTTGATTTGCAGCTTTGATACCTCTCTTAATTCCCTGTCTTATGCAGAAAGAGGAAAAAAAAATGTGTATGCAACATGTTGTGTTTGCCATGACTGTAGAAAAGTTTATTACTTCAAAATTAGGAATTATGTGTGCAAATAATTAATGATTTAACTTTCATTTTTCCATCAAATGAGTATTAATGTATCACCTTGCTTTAATCTTGATTGTTGTGACTTACAAAACATTGACAATGTCATTAAAGCACTGTGGTTTGTGTGTGTCTGTGGATTTGAGGGAGAGAAGGGCAAGGGAGAAATTCCAACAGGAGCGTAAGTGCACACCTTAACATTCACTTTGAAGCCCTGAGTGGTTAGGAATAGATACAGACCCCCGTGTAAAAGAAGATGTAGTTTAATGACTATATTAATTGTGTCTGGGACTGTGTTTAGGCTCTGAATGTTTAGACCAGAAGCTTTTGTTGGATATCTGGAACATAGATTGATTGTTGAGCATGATACTGAATAGTTAAAATAATTAAAATAAGCATCCAATATGAAAAGCACTTAAAAATCAAGTAAGCGTTGAATATTCTGGTTTCTGTGACATTTGTGTATTTGGTATTTTGTGTTGTTGGAGAAGAGGAGTGGAATGGGAGACTTAGAGCAATGAAGTTAAAAAAGAAAACTATCAAGATGGAATACTGAGCCTATATTAAACTGCAAAATAAGGATAATTGTTCAATTCTGTAATATGTGTCAATGATCTACTTAATAAAAGCAAATGAGTAGAGGTAATCTGACTGTCAAACTCTTATCCTAGGTTCTTCAGCTCTAATCCAAGTTCCGATGAAGTACCGAGTGCTCAGACGAGGTACCTGAATATAAATAATGCCTTTTCCTGATGCAGCTTTGAAATCAGTGGTTTTATTTCAGTGCTGACTAAAGCAGGTGTTCTTATTATGGTCTGGGAAGAAGCAATGTAAGCTGCCAGACATTGGGACCATTGCTTTTCTTCTGTGCACTGGTTAATTTATGTAAAAAAAAGATCTTAGGAGAATAAGAAGTTACAAGTATTTTTATGGAAAAACTTTCAAACTTGAGACATAGTTTCTGTCTTCATGATTACCTGACAATATCGTAATGAATCTAGCTAGTATTTTTTTAGTTGGTGAAGTTTTCAATAAAAAAATTTGCAGCATGCTCAGAGTACAGTGAAAATATGACAAACCAAAAGCATATAAACTAAGAACAGCATGGGTTGCTTGCTATTAAGGTGATACTAAGACAAAGGTATTTAGTTGTGTGTTAGGAAACAAGAAGAAAATGGCTGTTACCTTGACCAGACCTGTAATTTTTTTCTGCATGCATCTTTCCATATTAAGTCCAAAAGATCACGTGCCGTTCTCTGTCAGCTTGGGAATAACCAGCTCACACTGAGCTGCTGCACAGGCACACAAATTCATGCATTTAAGTGTTGATGAAAGTCTGTCTGTGGAGATGAATTACTGGGCACCAGCTTGTTACATGTTGACTCTGTCATATGCTACTGCTGCATGTCACCTCAGGTGAAAAAAAAACCCACAAAACATAGATTTTAAGAAGACTCTGAACTTTTGGTGAAAGTGGGCCATATTGGTGCTGTGGCAGGAGGTGTCCCACTAGGTATTTTGTAGCACTCTTATATTGCAAGAGGTTTTGCATCTAAATGGTGCAACTTAGTGAAGTTTTTCTTTGTGTTCAATTCTGGAGTTTGACTTGATAGTAGCACAGGCTTATTTCTAATGACATGAATATTTAAGGATGAATATGAAATTACCTCTTCTTGTGAAGTTTTTTGGGTTTTTTTTAGCCATAACCTGACATCCTGGTGGGAAAGAATACAGTTCCATGCTTGTGATATTTCTACTTGTTTGCTCTGATTTGAAGAAACTAGCAGTGTTAATTACTCTTACATGATTCATTGGCCAGTTATATGTAATTAGGTAGATGAATTCTAGTTCTGCACTTTTTTTTTTCAGATTAAAAATATGTTTTTTAACACTTCATCATGGTCTTTTATAATGCCCAACATTTGAATACACTTAATGTCTCCTTGAGATTGTTTTGCAGGTTGTTTTAGCTGAACTCTGCTGGTGTTCTAAGCTGAGCAGGAATGCTTTAGAAGTGTTTTAGGCAGAGCAAAAAGCAGGCTATTAAAACTCCGTGAGGAGCAAGATAGATCCCTGATTGAAACGCTGCTAGTTCAACCTCAGGAATACACTGAGTGTGTCTGTGCAGCCTTTGGGCTGCCCAGAGCTCAAAAGGTATTTGATGGGTTTTGTTAGCCTTAAGGCAGTATAACTCTTGAACTTCAGACTCCAAACAAGCAGTCCCAGAACACTTTATGAGTGTTAGGCTTTTGATGGGAGGAGGAGGTTGATGGCTTTTCTTTTTTTCATGAGAACTGACACAGTCTGGGACATGCTATGCATGTGAACTTCACGCCTTTCCTCAGTAAACCGAATTGTGTTAGAAATCTTGTTTTGCTTATTTGCTTCTTGTCTTAGAGACATTAAATCCTTGTGTATAAAATTGTTATGGAAGAGAAAGTGTTGGACTTTTTCTGTGGGGGACTGAGGTCTTGCCTGTTTTCTTTATGCATTTCAGAGTGCAAATGAATTTTGTCACCATTAATCTCCCATTAGAAACTCCTTTAATATCATAGACATTATGTGTAAACTACATAATGTGTAATGTCTTTTTATGTGTATTTTTTACTTCAGTGAAGAGATCATTCACAGGGTACATAACCTGTCTGAAGGATTTTATGAATGATCCCAGAAGAGAAGAGCCTCTAATTGGTATGGTTTTTTGTTCTATAAATTGTATGCCTTTGAATTTGTTACCAAATGGCTTTCTTTTGAAATAAAAGGTGGGATTTTAGTTACTGTTTCATTTTCTGTAAATGTATTTAATAACTTACCTATCTCATACCATTTTAAATTTAGTTTAATGCACTGGGTATTATAAAGGCCTCCTTAACTGTTAACTTGCTCCTGAAGGAGCCATTTAAGTAAAGAGGCTTTTTCCAGATCACAGAATGGTTGAGATGGGGAGGGGCCTATGCTGATCTTAACCCCTGCTCAAGTCCTAGAGGAGGTTGTCTGGGACCATTTCAAATGGCTTTTGAAAATCTCCTGCGTGAAAAACTACAATCTCTCAGGGAAATCTGTTCCAGTGCTCAGTCACTCGCACAGTCAGAGTGTGTTTCCTGATCTTCAGACAGTATCTCCTGCTTCAATTGTGCTGTTGCCTCTTGTCCTGGCACTGGGCACCACTGAAAACAGCTCCCTCTTTGCACCTTCATCTCAAGTATTTATACACAGTGATGAGATTTCCTCTTGAGGCTGAACAGTTCCAGCTTTCCCAGTCTTTTCTCATAGGAGAGATGCTCTAGTACCATTGTAATTTTCATGGCCCTTCATATGCCCATGTCTCATGTACTGTGCAGTCCAGAACTTGACACAGCATTCCAGGAATGGCTCTACTGGTGCTGAGAGGAGCCTGCTGTGAGCATTCCTCCTTGTGCAGCCCAGGATACTGTCAGCCTTTGCTGGCTCATCTTCAGCTTGCTGTCCACTAGGCCCTTTCCTGCCAGTGTTCTTCCTGGCTAGCCAGCCCCCAGCATGCCCTGGTGCTTGTTCTTCTCTGGATGCAGGACTTGGCACTTGCCCTTGTTGATCTGCCTGAGCTTCCTGTCAGCCCAGCTCCAGCCACTCAGGGTCCCTCTGGATGGCAGCACAACCCTCTGGTGTATCTGCATCCCTCCCAGTTATGTGTCATCATCAGCCTTGCTGAGGTTGTGCTCTGCATCGTTATCCAGATCATTAATGAGGGTTTTGAGCAGGACTGGACCCAGTACTGACCCCTGGGGTGCACTGCTACCTTCTGGTCTCCAACTGGACTTCATGCTGCTGGTGACCTGTCATCAGTCATGGTTCTTTGTGGCTTTCCATTTGGTGGGATATACAGATATTTCTACTTTGTGTGATATTTTTCCTCACTGTCCTTGGCTGTACTGGAAGTAGTGAGATTAATTTTAATGCTTTCTTTCTAACTGCTAAGTTAGAAACCCTTAGGAGAGTAGCAAGGCTGACTGTCAGTGGCCTTAGTGTTCCAAGTGTGTCATGGTGGCCTAGAGAAATAGGTTCTCTGATGAAGGCCTAAGTAGCAAATTTCCTAGTATTAGCAGAAAATTTCTCTGTTTAGTGCATTGTCTCCACCTAATAAATTACTAGGCTTTTTAACATTAATACTTTACTATAAGCATTCATAATAGAAAACACTTCGGTTGCAAGAACAGTTTCAGTTCATTTGGTGATAATTTATTTTCAGAGTTAAGATTTAGCAGTATGATAATATAGCAGGTTTGAGATGGAGTTGAATTTCTTCATAGCAGCCTGTATGTTTTGGATTTGTGCCTGAAGCAGTTTTGATGACACCCCAGTGGTTTTTCCTGTTGCTGAGCAGTGCCCCTGCATCAAGACTGTTTTGTTATTCTGGGCTCTCACCCTTGAATAAGGTTGGGGTGGGCAAGAGACTGGGAGGTGGCACATCCAGGGCAGTTGACCCAAACTGGCACAAAGGATATTCTGTACCATGAAATGTTATGCTCAGTAATCACAGTTGAGGTAAAGAAAGAAGAAAGGGGGGAAGCAGGGTTTAACTTCCAAGGTGGCTGTTCAGAGGCTGTGGGTGGGTATTGGTCTGCCTGTGGGGCAGTGAGCGATGGGTTTTTGCATGTTAGTTGGTTTTCGGGTTTTTTTACGCCTCTTTCCTTAACTTATTAAACTGTCTTTAAGTCCATGAGTTTTGTTGCTTTTGTTCTTCCCGTGTTCTCCCCACCCTGCTCAGGGGTGTGGATGTGAGTGAGCAAGTGGCTGTGTGGTTCTTGGCTGCTGGCTGGGATCAACCCATCAAAATACAGAGTACTGGAAAGTATGACATAAGGGAAGAGCTGCAGGATTTTCCTATTTGTTTTAAACTGCTTTTAAATTTATTATGTTCAAGCTTTTCAGAATAAAACTTTTCATGCTAGGTAAGAAGCCTCAAACTTGAAGGTTTCTGAATACTTTAAAGGAATTGTCTCAGTAATTTCTAGGAAAAATGAAGAATATTCCCATTTTCATTCTTGTGATCCTTAAAAGTTTATGGAACGTTTTCAGATTGTGAAAGATTCAGTTTTGTGAAGTGATTAATGTCTTTCCTACATCTGCTTTTACTTAGATACTGTCCAAATTATCTTTGACTAAGTATTTTAAATGCAGTTTTTAAATCTAGACATTTGTAGGGCATTTCCTACTCTCATTCTCTTTCTTAGTTTCTTGAAAAAATATCCCAGACAGGAGTAAAGATGCATTAAATATTTTTGGTGGGCTTTGAAATCTGCCATAGATGGTGTATTTCCTTTCAGAATAAGATATTGGAAAGAGATAAATTTAGCTGATTGGGTAATAAGTCCATAGAAGTGTTGAAGTGATCCTGAAGGAGTGTCAAATTCTGAAAATGGAATAATTTCACATACTAATTTTGAATTTGATGAGCAGCATTGTAAAGAATACATTTGTTTCAGTAGTCTGTAGTAAAATAGAAATATTTGTAACTCTTGTTTTTACAGGTTTAGAACATGTGGTTGAAGTCAGATTTGAAGGAAGAAGAGAGCCACGTTACGAGTGCAGGCTGTGTGGGTGTAATTCAGAGGTGGCACCTATGATAGAACATCTTAGTGGGTATAAACACAGAAGAGAATACATTGTGAGTAATTTTGATGCATTTTGATAAAAATTTCTTTATGATACTCCCCTTATTTTTTTTTCTAAATAATTAGATCATTTGAAGTTTAAACCCCCATGTAATAAATTGCCAGTATAGTTGACTCTCTCTGGGTCAGGCCAACATGAAGAGCTCTGATGATATGGGCTGTTGAGGCAGTGCAGTCCAGGGCTGCCTGTCTGTTTCAGCTCCGAAGTGTGTTCCTAAGTGTTTAGATTGTTTTCAGGATCAGGTTCCAAAAATAATGGGATTCTTTCTTATTCCCCAGCATGTCCATAGCATTGCTGGATTTGGTACAGAGGGTGTTTCCTTCTGGTAGCAAGCTTTACATGGTATCCATTTTTTGTTTTGAAGACTACTTTAGTAACTTTAAAATTTGAGTAGATATGTTGCGAGAAGATATTAGTTCATAATATTCAAATCAATGTTTTCCAGTCTTTTCGAAGGCTGTCCAGAAGGTGAAATGTGTAAAATTTTTTATACTGTGATATATTTTGATATTAACCTTTTCAAGCTGGTTTTGTTTACAGTCTAAAGAATTTCCAGATAAAATAAGGAAAAAACCAAAAGATACAAAAGAATGCAAAGTCTCGTTTTTCAGGCGAATAGCAGGAGAGCTGGAGAAGAGTGAAGGATTAAAAATGTATAAGGTAATTGGAAGTAAATGTAAAATTTCTCTTCATGTGTCTTTTATCAGTGCATTTATGTTTAATAGAGTAAATTTTAAAAGTACTGCAGGCAAAGCCTCTTAAATTTTCTGTGTTTTTCTAGGAAGTGTAATAGTGAGTTGAACTAAGGCTTACCTTTAGGTTGCCCTGAAAGATCCAGGGAAAAGAACAGTAGTATTGAAATTAATCTGAAAAAAGCAAAGCTTTATATTTTTAAGGTTTTAGATGTTTTAAATTGAAAATTGTTCAGTCTGAATTCAGTGATTCAGAAGTTTTATTACTTTAACTTCAATAATTTTTAATTTTTTTTTTAATTTTGCAACTTGAATTTTTTCAAATGTAAGCAATTTTTTTCTCAAATTTCATTTATATTTACAGAAGTCTATATCTGTGTGTATCATATTCAATTTAATTATGTTGGCATAAATAAAAGTACTTGTTCCTTTCCTAAAGGCAGTTGCAGTAGATACTGTTGTTATGAAATTTTAGTCAGAAAGTCTAATATGAACCTTTTTATATTTTTAGACGGAAGGTTACACAAGACCAGCTACCTCATGTAAGTGTGTGAATTTCTTGAATATAGTAGATTTGATGTAATTAATATTTGGCCTAATTTGACTTACTAGTTGAACTCGAAGGGTTTGACTGATGTAAAACATTCAACTTGTAACACCACAAAATGTTTTCAGAGATTTTTCTGGTTTTTGTGATTTTGAAGTGATGAAAGAAGGAAATTGCCAGACTTCCAGTCTTCCTTAGATTTTTTTAACTTCTTGGTTCCGGAAGTATTTATGATAACTGCAGTAATTTGCTCATCAAGGAAAGTAAAAAAGTATGGAAAAGTGGTACTTGATGGCTTTCTCTGAATAAGCTGCTAAAGTCTCCTCCACCTCATTTACATCATCAGAAGACTTATGCTAAATCACTGGTGAAAGTGGAAATTACCATTCTTTAGCAAATCCATTGGAACAAGTGATGGAAACCAAACCCACAAACATAAACCCAGCATCTTCCCTCATACAGTATGGCTGAGTTTCATCTTTTGTTACTGTAGGTGTGCTATAGATCCTTAATGATGCCAGTCTGGAGGAATACCTCCTTGCTACCTTTTGACCCTAGTGTTAATATCAGAAGGAAGGTGGGTGTGATTGAAGTGGGTGAAGGTTTCAAAGATCTACAGAATTGGTCAGCATGAGTCCCACTGTAGGAGCCTACCACAGCAGTACTTTTTTTTTCTTCTTTTTATTGGTCATTGGTGGCTTCTGTGGCTTGTACTTTTGAATGTTGGTCTGCAAAACAAGGTGGCAGAAATATTTTCGATTTCTGTGTCTCTTGTGAAGAAGATGGAACGTCAGCCAGTAATTAGCTGAGTAATTCTCAGTTCAGAGTCAACTGACATCAGTCAAGTCAGCAGACTTCTGTAGAAGTGGAAGACATGGTCAAATATCAATCTGGAACATCAAAAAGAGTGATTGCACACAGATCATACCCTGCCCAACAGGATATGAAACTCTGAAAAAATGAACAAGAGGGAAGTTACCTGTAAAAGCATTGTGCCTTTCAATATAAAGGTTTGTTCTGGTCAGGTGATAAGGTCAATATCAAGTGTTAAGTCCAAAAAAAAACTCTCTGGTTCTTTAGAAGGAAATCGTGGTTACTGGGTTAGCAGCAGTAAGTAACTTTGGACTAGATCATGTTGGCAAATGTCAAAACCCTTTTCTGACAGTAAGGATGACTTTGGGCATATAATTAAGAAAGGCTGCTAGTACACAGGTATGAGTGATGAAATGGACATTAACAGCTCCATCAGCATGTGTTAACTGTGTTAATGGGAACTGGTTAGCATCGCAACACAAGGCTTTGGCCTTGTCTTGTAGGGCCAAAGGTGTCACTTGTGCAGAGAATTATTACATGTCCTGTTGCTTATCGTGGAACACAATGCTTAAGAAGTGAGAAGTTTTGTACCCTGCAGTAGCTGGTTCTCTGAAGCGTATTTACTGTTTTAGACTGCCTTGTTTTGCTGAGCTTTCCCTCCCTCCCTCCTCGTGCTTATAACACTGATAGAGGTTAGATGATCCCACATTCCAACCCCTATAACTTCTTGTTAGAAACTTAGCTTTTGTATGTACAGCTTTTAGGTTCACTGGTATTTACTTGGAAAAAACCCACATGCAGACCTTGTAAGTTTTTTCATGGAGGAGACAGGTCCACCTCAGTTTATTCCATACAGCCTTCTTGTGTGGGGTTCAGCTGCCTGAGCACAGTTGCTGTAGGGTACCCTGCAGAGCCTTTAGGGCACAGGTCTCCCACAGACTTTTCAGCAAGGATGCCTGCTGGTTTCTAAGATGGGTGTGTGTGCCATTTGCTGCTGAATCCTGCCCTTTACAGAAACCACAGCCACTTCACAGCCAGTAACTGTTCTGTTTGTGTAATGCTTCTGTTGCAGAAATACAGTGCAAGCCTTGTGATGTTGTTAATAATTCTTTTTTATTTTCTAGCCCCATTGAAGAAGAAATCAAGGTGAGAGTACTACCTGCACAGGAGAATCAAAACAGAATTTTTTAATCTGTTTTTCTGTAGCAAGCATCATCTCATATGGGAAAATATTTTATATTGTCTTTCCACTGTACTTACTCCTCTTCTGTAAATTGTTCCTTTTTGTCTGTGATGAAATAGCAGCTATGGCTTTTGAAATACTCAAAAGGTAATTGCAATTAAAATTTCAAGCTGCTTCCATTCTATGTGGGATATCATTGGCTGAGTAAGTTTTATAAACAGCTGTTTATATACGAAGAAAAAGCCCAACTCACCATTATTTTAGTCATGTCCTTTAGCTGATTTGTGAAGTTCATCTGCACTACTGGTCTCTTTGAGAGTCAGTTAGAATAAGGACCTTTACAGCATATATAAAACACTGTTATTTCTTAGAGAAAGATATCCAGTATTGCTAAGTGATAAAAATTTGGAAACTGAAATATTTTGAGTAAACTTAGTGTTTTAGTAATTTTTAGAATGCATCTTAATACTGTAATTTTTTTTCTTTTAAGGTGGGAAGATGATTATAAGCAAGAGGTATGTAGAGGCAGTAACTCCACACAGGGGTTCACATACCCACAAGTTCTCATTTTGTAGCAGTTTCTTTATGCTTGTTTTTATTTTTTTTTTCTGGAAAATGCTTATTATTTGGCTTCATTTTGTATTTTGTTAATATTCTTGCAGAACCATTGACCTAATAAGTCAGAGTTTTGTGTTCATCACAGCAGAGGGGAAGAGAATACAGTACATTCACCTTGGCTCTCATAAGTCCTGTCCAGAGCCACTGAGAGTCTCAGAGCCAGTGTCTCCAGGCCAGGTCTCCCAGCCTGTGCTGCAGTCTCCCCTTCCCTGTTTTGTCCCTCTTCAGATCAAGACTATTCTATACTGAAAGTTTGGTTTAAATCTTAAGATATATCTAAAGATTTACAATCCCTTTTTCTAACTCAAAGGTGAAATTCAAAATGATCACTGACGTGTCTGTCCTGATTAGCTCTGGAGACAAACACTGAGAAGTGCCTTGTTTTTATCTTAGTGGCAGAGTTGGTTGTGTGGGCCTCAGGCTGGTCAGGTACTATGCTAAATGCAGTGAGCACTTGACTTTTTTAACATGATTTTGCTCCTGAGTGAGGAAAGGCTGGGAAAGATAGCTCCTGTAGGTGTGTGGCTTAGATGTGAAATGTGTTCTTCCTGGCATTGGAAGGAAAGCAGTTGTGTTTGTGTAGCTGCTACCAAACTGATACTGAAGATCTAAGGTTACATGTTTATGGCTCTGACCTAAAATTATCTTTTCTTTGTGTTGACTTTTGTTGTTGGATAAAAGATTAAAATATCTTGTTCTGTACAAGATGACGTAACAACTGCTGTAAAATTCAGTCTTCTAAATTTTTTCCCCCTATTTTTCAATCCTACAGAACGATCCTGTTCGGAAACAGAAAGCTCTGGAGTTCTTGGTATGCATGTAAAATAATTATGATGAGCCTTGGGATGTTTCACCAGTACCATGCAGTGATTATTGTTTGAAAGGGCCTCTGATTACTGATCAAACTTACTTCACTGCAACATTAATTTCTATTTTAGTGGACTCTGCCCTCAAAAGTTAGTGCAGCTGTAGCTTAGCTCAGAGCAATTGGCTGGATTAAATGTGAGCTCTCAGCCTATTCTGTGGATGACTCTCCCCTTTGCTGAGGAGCCACCCTGACAAGCAGTGTTAATTAGCAGCACTGATGGTGCTCAGGTGCTGCTGGCTGGCCAGATCTAATGGGATTGTTGATAATGCTGAGCAAGAGGAGCCAGTCTGGTCTGGCTGCCAGAGAGAGCACAGCTGCTGGTCTTGGAGTGATTTGGGAAGTTTTATCAGTTCTGTTGCTGTTGACAGTGACATAGTAAGCCTCATTTTGTCTTTTGGGTTTATGAAAATATCTGACTTTTACTCTGGGAAAGTAATGTTCTGTGCCTAAGGCAATTGGAAGGTTTCATTTGAGTTCGAATTGTGTTTTACCAAGATCAGAAGTAGAATGTTTTGAAATGAGTGCTTCATGTCTTCCACACTGTGGTTACTTGTGACTTCAGAAAGAGAGAGAAAAAGCAAGTCTTAAGGGATAATCAGTAAACTACAAAAAAACTTGGTAGTTAATTGACTTTTATGTACAGGAATCACAGTTATTCCTTACAAAAGACTGCCTATATTCTTTTAACTTACTGTAATCACTTATAAATTCATTTACTTAGTAATCAGCCTGAAGCTTATGTTTTATTCAATTTTCTACACAGATAATATAAATTTAGGACTTGTGCCATTCTCTGTCTGCAAAAAATTTTTTATGGACTTGACAGTACAGGAATGGCACAGAAATCCAAGTTTATGTTTTACCTTTTATCAGGCCATAATTATGCTCCAAATTTTATTTTTGGATATTTTTGTATACATTTATCATATATGCCATATGTTAACCAATAGTATAAATTTGGTTATACAAAAATCAAAGTATAACTTTGATCTGTTTGTGTATTTGACCCTTTGGCATCCTAATGACCAATTCTAACCATGTTTTTCAACAGGAGACTTTTCACATCACCTCAGACTCAGAAGCAACACTTGTTGTTCGCATTACACAGGAACTCATGGAGGCTTTGAAGACCTTTTGTGAAAAGAAAGCAGCAGTAAGTAACTTAATCTTGTCCAGAATTGTTTTACTATTGGGAGGAAAGGAGTGGTTAAACTCACTGTATTAACACCCTCCATGGTCAAAACCTCCAGTTAAATATACTTCAATTTTCCTCTTTTACAATTTCTAAGTAACAAAGATATTAATTACATAGCACATTTCTTTTAGTATTCCATCATCATGTATCTGTTTTGGCTTTTTTTGTGTGTGTGTTCTATTCTGGGCACCATTTTGTTTCTCAATGACAGGTTGTCATCCTTTTTGTGGTGGTCCCTTGCTTGTTAGCTTTTGTTCTAAGATCATTGAGGCTTTAAGTGCCACCCAAATGTGCCACTTTTTTCTTTTGTGGTCCTGTGGGTAGGCCTGTCTTTCTCATAACTTGTAGCTTTGCTCTCAGTTGGGAGTTTTAATCTGTTAAGATTAAGGAAGGCAAGATATTCTTGACTATCTGTTGGTCCTTACAAGCCTCCATAGCTTCTTTGCAAAGAGGTTAACTACCCATGGAAAAAGGAATCTGAAGAAGGACCAGAATCTGTGAAGAAATGATTAATCACTCTGGCAGCTACTGGTTCACAAAATTCAGGATTTATTTTTTTCTGAAAGCTGTTTCAGACTGTTTTCTCAATTGTATATTCCATGTCAGGTGAGCTGCAGTAACTATCTCTGTGCAAATGCTGCCACCAGCACCAGTTAAATGTTGTTTCTGTTGCTTAATCTCTCAGCTGGGCCTTCCATTCTGCATTCTCCAGATGGAGGCAGGATTTGCATATGCAGCAGTTTTATATTTTAGCCAGGTGATGATAAGAGAGATGAGGCAATAAATTTGAAACAAGAGACATTGTCTTCACCAGAGACCTCCTTTTGTTCTCCAGGAAAGTATCTCTTCAAATAACACTGGAAAATAGTGGTGCAATGTGGTAACAACACACCCCTCACATGGACTTTGCTATCACTTAAAATTGTACTTTGCTAACTTTCTATGGGAAATTTGTTGCATTTTAGAATTTGTAAAGTTCTTAAATTCTTGCATTTGCAAACAGATGTTTTGACCTTTTGCTTTACCTAGGATAATTACACCAACAGTTTAGGGCCACTGGTGCCAGTACCTCAAGATGAATTTCCAGAAAGCCAAAGCATCCCAGAACACTATGGGCCAGATGTAGAATACAAAGGTAATTTTTTTTTCTACTAGTTTGTTTACTCTGGAGCCTGCACAGATTGTGAAAATTTACTTTTATGGCCAGCCAGTGTACTTCTTAGCTGGTGTACTGTGTGTCTGTGCCCTCTGAGTCAGTTCAGGATATAATTTTCTGGGGCTTTAATGACTTAACTGTCTGAAAACATCCCTGTCTCACTGAACAGTGTTATTGCAGTTAAGGTTATGGAAATTCAAGCAGTAACCCTTCCTGATCTATTTACTATTAGAATTTTTGGGTAAAAAAAATGCAAAATTCAGTTAAGACATAAAGGCAGGAAATGGGAGAAGAACAGAAGTACACATCATAAAATCTCAAAGTAGTTGTGTTTGCAGCTGGTATTTTAATATTTTGCTAACTTCAAGTACCCTTTATTTATTCAGGAAGTTCTGACTGGAATCAAGGTTTTTTGTCTCAGTATGAAGAGTGTTCTGAAGATGCTTCTTTTGCTCCTGCTCACCCCAACAGTTACCAAGCAGATGATGGATCATCCTCCTGTCATCTGACACCTGACAACTTTGCAAGTGTGTCTCTGCTCGGGGACTCTCCTGCTGTTGAGCCTGATATTCCTGCCAGTGGTGTCAGCCAATGGCTGAGACAGCTCAGAAACTCTGCGCCCTCCATGAATTTGGTGCCTGGGGCCTCTTCATACCAGAGCAGCCCAGTGAAGGAGTACTCAGCAGAATACATATCCAGTGATGTGCAAGGAAATGAGCTCTGTGATAACAGACTCTCATTTGGCAGGGAAAATACAAAATGGAGCAATCAACAAGTGTGTACCAAAGCAAGGCATATAAGTGACCAAGAATTATCCTATCCCAATTATTCTGCCTCATATCCTTCATCTGGAAGATACTTTACAAATTATGCTTCACAAAACTATTCCTCTTACAAGAACTATGAGTCTGTGAATACTTGTACATCTGCAATTTCTACTGTTTCAGGAAGAGGTGGATCCAGGTGGCATCAGGACACTAGGTGGAATGAGTGGAATGAGGACTATAGGTGGAACAAGGATTCTAGCTGGAAGCAGGAATCTAGGTGTCAAGAATTCAGGTATCAGAAATCAGGCTACCAGAGAGACTGGAGTTCACATCAGGACTTATTTTCTGGCAGTGGTTTGTACCAAGATCACCAGCAGTTCAGAAGCTCAGAAGAGATGTTTGATGGAGCTGATGTTGGTCTTGCTCCCAGCACTGTGAACAAACTCCTAGGGAAGGATGTACCTACAATGACCAGGATGCTCAAACAGTTGGCTCCGTATCACCCAGCGCTTCAAAGTAAGATGGTGATTAGTTTCCATCATGTGAAATGAGTTACTGTAACATAAGCAGGAGATTGCAGGTTGCAGAGATAGGGTGAGCTGTTCAGGGGAGTTGAGCTCATTTTGCTCACATCTGTATCAGCTGAAGAAAGGCATTGTTGCTTCTCTGAGGGCACTGTGCCTCTTGGCAACTAGATGGAGCAATGAGTGGGAGGAGGTTTTGATAGTGCAAAAATTTCCTGAATTGAAAGGTTTGTCCTAGGTCATCTTTCTAACTAGCAGTTTGTATCGTGAGTTGTACTGGTAGATTTGCAATGATGGGAGGGGACTGTATTGGCATAAAGAAAAAAATACTGGAATGCATGCAGAACCAAGCCTGGATGGCATTATAACAGATAATCCAAATGAGTCAAAACCCATTGGATAACAAGAGAAATGTTATCAAAGAGCTGGTTCATTAAGTGTCAATTTTTTTTTCCCAGTTACTGTAGAAATAGTCATTAATGTTGAGAATAGTGATCTACTATTCCAAATGAGAGTTTCTCCTTTGGAAATAGATTATGAGAGGGACTTAAAGAGAAGTGGGCATATGCTACTTCATAGCTGTCATTGGGCATGAGTTTGGATAAATGCAAACTATGCTTCTGGTACTAGAATTAGTTAATTAACTAGGTAGCTACTTAATGGTAAAACTTTCATATTCACATTTCTATGCTGTATTATGGAAATATTATGAGATAAAAGTAACTCTAAATGTCTTTATTGCCCTTTTCCAGAAGTAAATATTCAGACATTCGTCAATGTGCTAATAGAAGCTAGAGAGAAAGATTAAGGAGCAACAGCTGAACTGGAAACAGATGAAGAGACTTGAGAATCTCCATCACTTGGCTTTCAGGAAAGAGACTACATTTAACTGTGTTTGACTGGCTTGGGAGAGGTAAAGGGAGGTAGGGTTTAAGTTTTTAACATGTGAAATATAGCTGGAACATGAACTTGCACATAATGGGTGAACATACTATTTTGTTTAGGCTTTTTGTAATGTATTTGTTATATCTTAGTATATTTCAGAAAAGAAAGATCTTTTGTTATTTTTTGAAAATACGTTAAAATTACTCTGTCAGCAAAAAGCTAATAATCCTTTTAATACCCTTCTCAATTCACAAGAGAAAGAAAGGTTTTATGCTACCTACTTAGGAAGAATATTAATTGAAAATCCAGGTTTACTTTTCTTCACACAAATGTAAGGCCATTTCCATTAATTTGAGGCTTTATAATTAGCATATTTTTAGAAAATGATACACTACATTTCTGTTTAGACAAAGAAAGGAGAATGTCACAACATAGGTATTCTCTCTATGTTAATGTGATGCTATATGAGGAAAATGTAACCTCTACTAGAGGACTGGTATGTAACAGTTTGCAGACTAAGAAATGGTGTGAAATATATGCAAATTTTTAAATCGTGTTGTTCAAAATGAAATAATTATAAATTATCCTAAAAACTCATTTGGTGGATGGACCCATGCTAAAATAAAAATTCTTGATTCTTTCTACTGGCAAAAGCATATTAAGAAATAGTAGAACCCATAAGCCAATCAGATAAAATAACATGAAAAAATAAACAAACTGTGGTACTAACTGAGTAGTACTTACCAGTTCATGAGGTGTATCAGAGCCACATGCTCATGAATGCCTGGCTTTAGATATCTGCTCTATGTAATTAAAACCAGCTTACATGGAGCTGAAGAAAAGAAGTAAAGTGAGACAGTTTACTCCTGAGTGTCTGTTTTCCTTTTCACTGCTGCATTGTGGACTATCATTTTTCTTCTCACTCGTGCTGGAACTGTGTCTCTGTGCATTAAATACTTGTGCTGAAGCAGGGTTACTTAGTCTTCATGAGCTGTCATAAAACATTTTGGATCTTGTTATGTAAATTTTAATAAAAACTCAACTCCAAATAATTTATTATTGAGCATGTAAACTCAATTCTCTAAAGTTTTCCTTCTGTCATTACTTCGTTTCTGCATCTGAAGAGATCCACTTTCCTTTTTCTTCTTGTTCACTGTGTTTCATTCCTGTTCACTGCTCATACTTACTGAAGTGTTGGAGTGGTTTATAACATCACACACCTCATAGTTGTGCCATACACTTCCATGCACTGAATTACATACTCAACCTTCTTGCTTAAAAGGGAAAATTGTTTTTTCTACCACAGATGTCTGCCAGAGTTTTGGTTTACAAGTCTATAAGATTGATTAGTTATTATATCTACATTTAAAAATTACCAGAAGTTATTTACACAGATGTTACTAGCATAGTTTTTTTCCTCACAGAAGGTGAAGTGCAACTAAAATTCTAAAACTGTAGAAAAAAATGTTGCTAGGAAATATTACTGCTGCAACTCTGTCAATTCAAGTTGTGACCTTTTCATCTGAGGTTGTTGCAGAGAACTCTTTTCCCCGTTTCTCACTCCCTTTTGGATTTTACTGCCATCACTGTATATCCCAGTGGCTCATCCCAGTGGCTTGATGAACTCCACCCAAATTAGATGCTCTTTCCACCTACAGGTTCTGTAGTTTTTCCTTCTGGGCAGCAGTTATTGTCCTTCCTTTGTTGTTGTGCAGAGTCCTGCATTGGGGAAACAGTTCTTGCACTTGGAAATGGAGTTGGAGCAGTAAGACAGCATTGATTTACTGAAGCTTTCCTGAACTGTAGAGTGCTGAGTCCTTCTTACTTCCAAGAAAACCCATTACCATATCTTGCTACTATGTAGTACAGAATGGGAGCAGAACTCTGTCTAGACTCCAATCCTTCTTTAAGAAACCACCTCACAATGTAGCTCCTGCCAGCCTGCAGAGCAGCACCAGAAGCCTGGCACCCATCAGCACCACTGCAGCTACATCACAGGCCTTGGCATGGAGGCAGTAGTTCTCAGAATGCACCTGAGCCCTTGGAGCAAATTTCCAGTTTCCTTAAAATGCCAGTGACAGAAGCCCAGACTGGAACATGTCTTGGACTGGGGATAAATGGTCTACTTTTAGTCACTTTCTTGGTCTGTGGTGTACTTGCTTTCATACCTTTAGAAGTGTGTTTCCCAGTGGGACAAGAGTTGTTCCCATTCAGAGCCACCTTGATGATTCTTTGCATCAGTGATGCTCCTTTAGGAAGTGCTGGAGTCAGCTGTTCTGCACCAAGGGCAGTGAAATACAACAAGGCCAGCTGGACATGGAGACACCTTTCAGGGCAGACAACTTGGGAAGTTTCTCAGATTGCAGTTTTTTAGTTTGTACCATGGACTTACTCCTCAAAACACTTCCCAGAATTACTGGATTTTATGTGGATGTATGATCCAGAGGGGCAGCTTCCTTAGTGGAAAGAAACAGGGGAGCTCTTTTGAGCCCAGAAATTCTCAAAAGAATTCTCTTCTGTTTTGTTTCTGGAGAGAGCATATATAGTTATTATCTCAGCATTCCAGGGAGGGAAGGTTCAAAGAGTAACTGGTGGAAGTCTTTTTCCCTGGTTTTCTTCAACATAAGTAACTTTCACAGCTGGTGGATGAGGTGGTTTCTGACACTGGTTGTTGCTCCTGATCTCCCCCCTCACCCAAAACCAATTCCTTACCTTTTGGGTGAGGACACCCAGAGTGCTTTGGGGGATCTCCTTGTTTCAGTGTGCTGATGCTCAGGGGGCCATGGGTTTTCCCTCACATACCAGAAGAGTGTTCAGTGTTGCTGAGCTGTCACTAAGGCTCTGCGTGTCACTTGACAAATAGTAGCAGCTTCTTTACATGACAAATGTTTTGTAACAGTTGCACAGTGGCCACTTTGCTGCCTTCACCCTGACATCAGACACTAGTCTGGGTGAGACACAGACTCAGAATCATCTGAGTTGGAAAGAGTCCACAAGGATCACTAAGTCCAGCTGTTCAGTGAATGGACCATACAGAGACTGAACATGTGACCTTGGTGTTATTTGTACCATTCTGTGACCATCTGAGCCAATCTCAGGGTCACCTGGAAGTAACACTGTAACTCTCGTTGTCTTTGTTTCCCCCAAGAGTTACTGTAAGAGATGGTGTGTGACAGTCATTACTTGTCTTGCTCGTCTTGCTTGAGTTTTTCCACTCTCTCTCATTAGATGTAAATGGTGAGATGTAGGGTAAAGTTACAAGAATATCTAACTGTCAATTCAAAGCCACTTCAAATAAGTGCTTCAGCACAAAAAGGAAGACTTCTGATGTCAAATGGAACAACTAAGCAAAAGGAGCATATTCAGAGTCACAGTTCATTTTTGTGGGGAACTTCTCAAGGGAGATGCAGTGTGACCTTTTTCACAGGTGAGAAGAAGTTGTATTTGAAGCCATCCCAAGGATACCCTGAAAGAAGGAGGCAGCTAGAAAATAAAATAAAAAAGGCCATCCAAGTGGAGAGATCCCTGAATCATAGAAAATGAGAATAAAGAAATAAAATCACCATCCCCTTAAAGCTGTACAAAAGTGAAACAGACTAAAAGTTGACCTGGTATTTTTACTTAATTTTAAATTCTGTATTTAAAAATTAATACATTAAACTCTTATAAAAGTAAGGCACATGCAAAACATGTTGTGCAACTTCTGGCTTTCAACTGATATAAACTAACAAGCATGATTTTAATTTGGCATTTCTAAAGAGTCATTTTTCCCATGCAGGATATGTGTAAGAGGTAAGGATATGTGTAAGAGCTCAACATTGTACTGGTTAAATCTAGATTCTGTGCTTTCTGTACTACAGTAAGCAGAGATGGTCATATACAATAATACAAAATAAAACCAACTTAAGTACAGATTCTGACGATGATTACCAACATACAAAATTTAAGAATGTGATGTTACATCCATTATAATACATAAATAATCTTATTCAGTAGAGGATGATTTGGCAACTCCAGTCTATGTAATGCCAGTGTGCAATTCCTGGTTATCCATGTCATACGATGCTGAAGACCATGGAAAGGTACTGCTCATAGGACACCTGAATCCAGCCATCCTGGTCAGTGTCGTATCGGCGAAACACATCAGTCAGCCTCTGAGGAGGAGAGAAAAAATAATAGACATTTTTGTTCTAGGGGAAGCTTCAGACTGCTACATACTCCCCTTGCCACCTGGGCTTTATGAACCCTTTCTGTTCATCCAATGGCCCTGTACCCATTTTACAGTCTTACATATAAAGACAGCTCACTGCAATAATAATGCAATACCTAAGGCTACCTTCTATATAGACCAGACAGCTTTTTATAACTGACTTTAAAGCAGGGGGAAAAAAAAAAACAATGTTTGAGTCATCCGGAAACAGAATCCAATGCGTACCTTGCACATATCTCGCCTTCTAGGCAAATGTGCTTCATGTGCCATTGCCATCTGAGGTGTCTCTGTGTAGCCCCAGAGATACCAGGCAGTACAGAAAAGGACCAGAACAACTGCCAGCATGGTTTCATTAACAACAGCTGAGTGATTATTCCATTTAAAGCCCTTTTTAGCAGAGTTCAAGTCTACAACTAACCATAATTGCCTTGTATTGCAAATGAATGCAAAGGTGACTGATGTGTCTAAGTAACAGAGATGCGACTTTTACAGGGAACTGCTTTCCTTCCATGTTCTTTCTCTTTCTCTCACTCTCTGTGTCACTGAAAGATTGGAAGGGTTTTTGTGCATTTTTACCATTACCCTTGCAAGACCAGCTCTGAAGTCTGTATTAAACTAACAGACAGTGTCAAACATTGATACTATTTTACACTTTTTTGTACCTCATATTGTATCAAATTTACTTGAGACACAAAGGAATTACTAAAGAAGACCAATACACAAAGATGTTTCTAGCACTTAGCATATACTTAGTTCAAATGGCTTACTATAATTAAAATAGCAAGTTCTGATCCACTGTTAAAGTGAGAACCAGAAAAGCTTAAGAAAAGGTAATTTTTTTTTTAATTGACATCAAAGTACATCTCCTTTCTTACCTGTAGAACAACACAGCACTGAATAAAATCATCAAAAGCAACTTGTCCTTTTCCTTGTCTGTCAAATTTCCGAATAAGGATATCATAGAACTGATCAGACAGTCGGTAACCTTGGAAAAAGAGAAATACTTTAGAAGGTTTCAATTACTGCAGTCCTTCTATAAAAAGAACAAGGTTGTTTAGCAGGCATGTGTAACAAAACCAGAAAACAGTAAGGAGTTACAATGACTATTTTTTGGTAAATATCTCTGTAAACTAAGATGCATGCAATAAAACCCATGCTCAATAATAGTTATATACAGAGTCACAGTAACTATAATTACAGATTAAGGTGACTGTTTGATTGAGGGAATGGTTCAGGGCTGCAGTTCAAGTCTTTACAGATGAAGTGACTGGAATGCAAGTTCCTTAGCCATCAGAATGCTCTCACAGCACGGACAGCTGGCCTTGTTTTAAAAAGTGGCAAGTTCTATCAAGTACCCTGTTAGTTCAGACTTAGCCTGATACACTGGTAACCCTCTCAGAGCTTGTCACAGAGGAGACTGGAACTGGATGTATCAGGATATGTATTCCTTTTTCTCTATTTAAGAAAAGATCTTTAAAATCATGTGCCTCTGGCACGGACATCGTTAAAAGGGACCTTGTACCTAAAAGAAAAGCTGCCTTCACCTGCCTCATTTTTAGTCACGTTTGTCAGAGCAGTAAAGCTCTGTAACAGCACCAGTAAGCAGCTCATTCTATGACATAACCCAGTCATAAAAACTGTAATCACTAATGAATTACCAAAACCTGTTAGTGCTTGCTTTAGTTCATTTTTGTCAATCATTCCAGAATTGTCTCTGTCATACGTTCGAAAGACATTCTGCCAGTCTGTGATGTATTTCCAGACTCCTGTGAATTCATTGAAGTTCACACCCCCTTTGTTTTCTCTGTCAAACATGCCTGAAATAAAAAGTAAGAAACATATATAAAACCTTAGTCATACAACTCCTCAGCAAGATCTGAGTAGATATCAAGAGTGTAGCTATCAAGAGTGCTCTGTGGAAGGTACTGAAGAGAGAAAAGAAACTGCTAAAATGCGAGTGGTAATTTGGAAAGTCCTGCCAAGAAAAAACAAGCAGTCACCCACTGAAGGAAAAAACAATAAAGTGAGAAAAAAATACCAGAATAAATCACAGAATATTTATTTTTCCTAGGTTTTTGTTTTCAGTTCAAAAATACTGAGGGCTTGACTGATCATCCAGTAATAAATCAAAATGGGCAGAGGGGTGAACTGTTCTTTTCTAAGGACACATTAAAAAGTCTTACATAATTTCCAAGAGTGCTGGGATATTCATCTGCATTTGATTTACTCATACTGTTATCTTTACATGTCACCCAGCAATGGAACTCAGACTGCTGCTGAACACTTATTGAGAACAAAGCAAAAAATGTAGTCCTTGGATTTATGAACTGTGTGATAGAAAAGATTTGATTTATTGTGCTTGAATCTTCATCCTTCTGTTCTACCACCATCACCTTCCACATTATTGGCAATTAGTTTAGACACTAACAGAATTCAAACTTTGTAAAGCTTCTGTTTGGTATTTTTGCAGTAAAACATAGGCTTAAATTCAAGACAGGAAAAACTACTTCCCAAGACAACTTACATAATGTCTTTTTAGAAAATTTAAGATAACAATCTCCTCATGCATAAATTACATTTATTATCTAATCAATTATGCAGTAACATTTTCTCAGGCTACTTTGACAAGTGCACACGTGTGTATGCAAAGGGCATTCTCTATTAATCAAAAGGGAAAATAATTTAACTTACTATTGCTGGGCCCTCTGAGGGAAAAAAAAAACAGTGTAGCAATTGAGAGCATTCTCAATCAATCAGCTGAACAGATCACAAAACGTTATCTTAGGACTATGTCACATCACACAACTACACTCACCAAGAATTGACCTGACTGTTGCTGGATTAAATGGAGTCCACGTGCCTGAAAGAGAAAGAATTACTTAGTTAAAAATTAAGAATTCCTCAATGTTTAAAAAAAATGCAAAAACCAACCAAACAAATCAGTTAAGAACAGTGAATTCAGAGCTATGTGACATGGAGCTGGCATAATAAAAAAATAAGGCTGCTTGGAAATAATAAAGTTTCACCATTCAGAGATGACTTCAGACCAGTGCTTCCCAAAACACCACACAGGAACCAGCATTTTAAGGCTGTAACAAAAAAAATCGAACAAACCTTGGAAGATCTAAGGACTTTTTCATCCCAGGCTGTCAGGAAGTATTGGATAAAAATCAAGATCTGAACTGAAGTACCTCTTTTCTATGACAGGAGCAGAAGTGTTCTAAATGTAACTCAATCAAGGCCTCATATCTGTTCCTCAGTAAAAACCCATCTGCTCATTTCCTTTCTACAGGACTACTCCAGGGCATTTCATTTCTGACAGAAAGAGTTCCCAACATGGCATAACCATACATTGCAGCTTAGAGTAGTTCAGTACAAATCCCACCTCATCCACTGCTAAAACAATTAAGTGTTAGTTTGAATTAGTATTTTTAGATCAAGAAATGTTGCTGCTTGAAAGGGCCTGAGCAGTAATTATCTGGAGAGGAGCTCTGTACTTCTCTGAGTATTTAGAGGCTTGTCATTATGAAACTGTTTTCACTTGGTGGAGAGCATTCCCAAGCGCTAGGAAGCATTACGCTTTAAACAAAGGAACCCCGTGCCTCATCTAGAATGTCACCATGGATTCTCCAGAGCCTGTGAAGGAACCAGGAGCACGAAGCAGCACACAATGAACTGTGGCCGCCTGCAGGAGCCCACAAAGGAGTCGGTGAGCCGAGGGCAGAGCAGAGGCGCTCCCAGGGCTGTGTCAGGTGACCGCAAATCCCGGCAGAAGGGCTGGGCTGGGATCCCTGGCATCCGGCACTTGGCTTTGCTGGGTCACGGCAGTGATGTAACTCACAGGGAGAGCCCTGCACTGTAGGTAGGCCCTGAGACTCTTTGCACATAAAGAGAAAAGGAAAAATGGCTCTGAAAATGTTGAAGCAGTATTTTAGACAGAGAGTATCAGTACCTTAGAGCTGTGTGTCTCCGCAAAAAAAATAAGAAATAATGGAATTAATAAGTTGCCAGGATTTAACACTGAACAGAATAAGAGGAAAAAGTGAAAATACAGTCTGAAAAATAACTTATTTCATCTTGAAACATTCAAATGATTCATAGAGCCACCACAGAATGAAATCTGAGCAACTCCAGAGGTGAAGAACTGTACTGATTTCATACTATTCCAATAAACAGTGAAGACTGTCCCTGTCTCTCCTCTCCTGACTCTAGTGTTAACTTCCCACAGCAGCACAGAAGAAAACAAGAAGGAAGCAAAGGATTTTACTGTGCAAACAGTTAGACAAAATGATGATCAGCCCCTCCCACATAAGCACACTGTTATCTGCGTACACTTCATGCAGATGAAAATGTCAAATTGTCAAAACCACACTGAACTTCAAATGTAAATGAGCACAATGCAGAATTTTTTAATGTTTTAGAAATAAACACATAACATTATTTTAGCCCATGTTAAATTACAGGACAGCCAGCCATGCACAAACAACCACTAGAGGATATATTTTGAAAATAATATAGTGAATTGTTAGTGATTTTGGTGTACAAGATCTAGAATCTCTTGGAATGCAGGAAGCTTACAGTTCTGTAAATATTTTGTCTAACACTTGGTAGGCATTCTTCATAACTGCAAAGCACTGAAACTTCTAATCTACACTGTAAATAAGGAAAGAAAAGAACTCAGATATTCATCACTGCCTATTACCCTTAAATTCAATCATATGAGGAGATATTTAAAATACATACAATTAAAAGTGGCAGGTTCATATGAGAAAATATTTAACATATAAAAAATTTAAATCAGCAGGTAAAATTTGAAATGACAGTTTCTCACAGCTCTAAACAGCATTGTAATCTAAATTAAAATGGTGACTTAATTTAACTTAGTTTTTGCTAAAGATTTTATTCAAAATTTTAATTAGGATCAGTTCTGGCAGCCACAACACATTGCTTTTAATTTATCAGATACATCATTAAACAGATATTCTAGTATATCCAGTTCAGTTACAAGACTGCAGTTTTACTGAATAGGACCTTATAAATTAATAATTAATTTATTAAATTTATTCAAGTCAGGCAATCACTGACAAAAATGAGCCCTTCAGCCAGAGCCAGTATGTGCTGCAGCTCACAACATCAGTTTAAGCCCTTCTCAGTCACAAAGCACAGGAGGGATAAAGGAATAAACTGTGGGAGAAGGGGAACTTGGTATGGACTCAAAGGTGGACAAACAGCCTGAATATGCCCTTTTTTCAGATTTCCAAACAGAAAAAAACCCACAGAGTACAACCCTACCCACCCTAAGTCATGGGAGGAAAGTAAAAATAGGCTACTGGAAAAATGTTTCATTTTTTATTTCCATGAGTTATTTGACAATACCCTAGTTTCTTTGAGTATTACAACAAGGAAATGACTACTAGGAAGTTTTAATGCTAGAGTGCATCTTTCTACTCTGTTAGGAAAAACCCTAAACATACTTTATTTCCTGCACCATACTGTATGAAAAATGAATTATGTGCAATGAAAAGGCTGGTTGTAAACAGCTTTGCCCAGGTTATACACTGGTTCTGGTTAAAAAAACAAAGGTTCAGTAGTGATGAGCAAGGAGTCTATGAATCACTGGTTATGATTTCTAGGAAGCAGAGCTGGGAAAAAAGGGATGTGCACGCCCTCATTCCTCAGAATACAGACCAGTAATGGTTACAATAGATACTCAGTTTAGAACAAACAAACAAAAAACTCACAAGGATTGTTCATTTTTCCCTTTCCAGCCTTTTGCTGTAGATTAAATAGTAATTAGTGAGTGGTAGGAACACTTCCCACCCCGTTCCATACAAAGAATCACAGCATCAAGTAACCACTCTCACAACAAATTTATTATGAAGTTTACAATGAACTACCTCACGGCTCATTGACAGACTTACCATTGGATAATGCCTGCTGTAGTTCATTATCACATATTATTCCACTCCTGTCTTTATCAACTCTGGGAAAAGAAAAACAAAACAAAACCAAAGCAGGTAGTAAGCTTTAAATGGCTGAAATTAACAGGTTCCACTTACTGAAGACTTTGACATTCTGCTTCTTACTCAACAGATGAGATTATTATTTTCCTGAAAAGTCTCTGGAACATGATAAAAGCTCCAAAGAAAACTGCAAGATTTATGAGTGAAGAGACACACAGAAACACTGACAATGAAACGGTTTGGGCATGCTCTCCACAAGGCAGTATTTTTATTTATTTCTGTTTAAGAGAACTGCAGAGCACACATGCTGGTTAAATCCACGAAATGCCTAATGCCACAGTAGTGAGCTATCTGTTTCACAAACTGGAGCAACAGGTTTGTCACCCAGCCTCTCTCACATGCTGGCAGTGGAGAGTAAGTCACTAATGTGACCAAAGCACTGAAAGACTCAAACCCCTGCAAAGGGGTTCAAAGAGGCAAAAGCACAGGCAGGCTCCAGCTTCCACTGAGCCTTCACAGTCCATTGTCTTAATGATTCAAGTTTGTGCTAAAATTAATGAATCAAGTAATTTCTGCCCAAATAAAGAATGATCATGACTTCTTTAGAAGGGTATCTGAAAGTGGTGGGGACTTCCCTCCATTTCATACAAGGATGTTCCCCTTGGAATGACAGTTTCATTTCCCCTCATTTACTACCCCAACCAGAGTCCCACTTAGCTGATCCCTGTTCACAGAACCTGATTTTCTTTTCCTTTAGCTCTTGCTGTCTTTTTCTAAACACTTTCAGTTCATTCTATTGCTTCCTTCCCCATCTCCAAGAATTATGTAACCTGCATGCAACACTAAAATTGCAAGCATAAATTGCAAAGATTTCAATTACAAATAGATATTCCCCTTTATAATTTCTATTTCTCTTCTTAGTATTGCGAACATTTTTCACCTTTTAATGAGCAGTTACCAAGTCCTAAGCTGATATTTTCATGAAAATGCATTATGACCTACTTGTCTTGTTCCTGAGCATCATCAGTCAGCACATTCATTTTATAAATAAAATTATGCAAAATTAGAATGGGTTTTCCTCATGGACATCAGGATTCTACTCTGATTCCACCTGACATATGGGGATCACCTGTCACACAGGGATCATGATCTGGCCATGACAGGCTGATACAGCCCTGTCATTCAGGACTGTAAGGTGCTCCTGCAAACATTCACAGGCCTCAGTTACTGCAGGAATCAGTAAACATCACCTGACCACTCACCCTCTTTTCACAGAATCAGAGAACCACAGAATGGTTTGGGTTGAAAGGCACCTAAAAGATCACCAAGTTCCAATCCCCTGCTGTGGGCAGGGACGCCTTCAGTTACACCAGATGGCTCAGAGCTCCATCCAGCCTGGCCTTAAACACTTCCAGGGAATGGGGCAGCCACAGCTTCTCTGGGCAACCAGTTCCAGTGCTTCACCACACCCACAGTGTAAAACCTCTTCCCACCATCCAATCTAAACCTACTCTCTTTTTCCCAGCTGCTCCTGAACAGATTACACAAAGATCCCAGGAGAGCTCCATCTGTCCGTGTGGTGCATGACCACACACACACACCCTTCAGTCAGTTTTCCATCCACTAAAGAATGCTTCCATTCATTCCACCTTTACTGAATTTCTTCAAGGGCCTTTTGATAGTGTTGGGAGTATTTTTGGAAAGCATACAGATTATATGAATTGCTCCAATTCCAGCCATCATATCCCTATCCAATCCTTACCAAACACAGTCCAGGATTTATACAGCAGTCTGCCAGAAGAAATATTTTCAACAAAAGCCATGCAACTCTCCCGACTAACTACATTATTTAAAATATTTTTACTGATTTTCCTGGTGCAGAAGCCAGATTGCTGATCTGTTTCTGGACCCTTTAAAAAGAGAAACAGCTTCTTGCATGCCTCTGCCGAGTCCTCAGAGGAAGCTGTTTTACAGCAGGCTTGGTAGGTAAGCTGCTGCATTCCTGAGTCACTCTGTAAATATCAGCCAGTTTTAGAAACTTAGTACTCTTTGTCTACTGCTTAACCTCTTCTTGCTGCTGCTTGTGTCAGAAGATCTGTCTTGACTCATCTCTCATAAAAATGGATCCAATGTCAGCACCTCCCGAGTTTCCTCAACAAGACATAGTTGGGAAATCTCCTTTGGCTTCCTTACTGATAGGATCTTGCCAGTGTGTTTGTTTAGCACAAGCTTGCTAACTCCCTTGCAGGTCCCTCTGTCCCAGGAGAATTCAAGAGAACACTTCACAGAATCCTTTAGCTTGGAAAAGACCTCTGAGATCATCGAGTCCAACCTATGACCCAACACCACCGTGTCAGCTAGCCCATGGCACTGAGTGCCACGTCCTGCCTTTCCTCAAACACCTGCAGGGACGCTGACTCCACCACCTCCCTGAGCAGCCCGTTCCAATGTCCAACCACCCTTGCTGAGGAGAAATTCTTCCCGATATCCAACCTAAACGTCCCCTGGTGCAGCTACGTCTTGTCATTGGTAGCTTTAAAGTCTCCCATTACCATTTATCCGATTCCTTTTTACAAACCTTCCCTATGCTGCTACGCTGATCCTCCACACCTAACTATCCTTCCTGCAACCTCAGGTTAAAAATTACTTCAGCGCTTTCAAGGTTACCGTCCCACCGATCCCCTTTACCCTCGTTATAAAACACAGCCACATTTACTCCTCCCCAGCCCTTTCCTACAGATCCTCCCACGGGGAATCCACCGCGATGTCCACAGCGCTGCCCCGGCAGCCAAACCCCGCGCTGGACGCGCAGGGCCGGTGCCCGGACTCCCGCACACCCGACCCGCTTCCGGCACCTCCCTCTGCCCGTTGCCCGCCGGGCCCGCTGCCCGCCGGG